ATAAAGATTTCCCCTCAGACTGAAGCTCTTTCCACACTCAAGGCATTTATGAGGTTTTTCTCCTGTGTGGATCCTTTGATGTTATAAAGATTTCCCCTCAGACTGAAGCTCTTTCCACACTCAAGGCATTTATGAGGTTTTTCTCCTCCTATGTGGCTCCTTTGATGTGTATAAAGATTTCCCCTCAGACTGAAGCTCTTTCCACACTCAAGGCATTTATGAGGTTTTTCTCCTGTGTGGATCCTTTGATGTGTATAAAGATTTCCCCTCAGACTGAATCTCTTTCCACATTCCAGGCATTTATGAGGTTCCACCCCCTGAATGGATCCTTTGATGTGTATAAAGGGCGCTGCTATGACTGAAGCTCTTTCCACACTCAAGGCATTTATGAGATTTTCTCCTGTGTGGATCCTTTGATGTGTATAAAGGTTTCCCAACTGACTGAAGCTCTTTCCACATTCCAGGCATTTATGAGGTTTTTCTCCTGTGTGGATCCTTTGATGTATATAAAGATTTCCCTTCAGACTGAATCTCTTTCCACACTCAAGGCACTTATGAGGTTTCTCTCCTGTGTGGATCCTTTGATGTGTATAAAGATGTCCCCTCTTACTGAAGCGCTTTCCACACTCCAGGCATTTATGAGGTTTTTCTCCTGTGTGGATCCTTTGATGTGTATAAAGGTTTCCCAACTGATTGAAGCTCTTTCCACACTCCAAGCAGTTATGTGGTTTTTCACCTGTGTGGATCCTTTGATGTACATAAAGATGTCCCCTCTGACTGAAGCTCTTTCCACACTCCAGGCATTTATGAGGTTTTTCTCCTGAGTGGATTCTTTGATGTGTATAAAGATGTCCCCTCTTACTGAAGCTCTTTCCACACTCCAGGCATTTATGAGGTTTTTCTCCTGAGTGGATTCTTTGATGTGTATAAAGATGTCCCCTCTTACTGAAGCTCTTTCCACACTCCAGGCACTTATGAGGTTTTTCTCCTGAGTGGATCCTTTGATGTGTATAAAGGCTGCTGCTGCGACTGAAGCTCTTTCCACATTCCAGGCACTTAGGTTTTTCTCCTGAGTGGATCCTTTGATGTCTATAAAGATGTCCCCTCTGACTGAATCGCTTTCCACACTCAAGGCATTTATGAGGTTTTACTCCTGAGTGGATTCTTTGATGTCTATAAAGATATCCCCTCTGACTGAATCTCTTTCCACACTCCAGGCACTTATGAGGTTTCCCTCCTGTGTGGATTCTTTGATGTATATAAAGATGTCCCCTCTGACTGAAGCTCTTTCCACATTCCAGGCATTTATGAGGTTTTTCTCCTGAGTGGATCCTTTGATGTCTATAAAGATGTCCCCTCTGACTGAATCTCTTTCCACACTCAAGGCATTTATGTGGTTTTTCTCCTGAGTGGATTTTTTGATGTCTATAGAGGGTGCTCCTATCACCAAAGCTCTTTCCACACTCCAGGCACTTATGAGGTTTCTCTCCTGTGTGGATAATTAGGTGGCTTTGAAGGTTTCCTTTTCTTTTGAAGGTTTTACAACATTCTGGGCACTGATGTTCATTTTCTTCCTCCTGGATCCTTCGGGGCTTTCGGGATCTTTCAAAGGAACCTCCGCCCTCCAAGCCTGTCTCGGGGTCTCCGCCCGTTTCCTCCTCTCCGCATCGCCCTCCAGGCAGCTGCCTTTCCCGGGCTCCCCCTGGGCTCCTCCTGCCTGCAGCCCCAGAGCCCCCCGGCCTTTCCCCGCCGCTCTCCTCTTCCTCCTCCTCTCGGGCGGCGCCTCTTTCCTGCATCCGTCCTCCTGCAGGTGAGAGAGAGAAGAAGGTCAGGCTGCGTCCCCTTCCCCACAGGGGAGGCCCAGGTCCAAGCCCCCCCCCATGCGGACCTGAAAGAGACCCTCCCGGACTACGATTCCCAGCATCCCCTGCGCCAAACCTGCATCAAACGGCCTCCTCTGTCGCCGATTCAGGCAGCTTCCCTCACTGCCTTTTTTGTTTCCGGAAGTGGAGGCTTCACGCCCTTTTCTCTCCACTAGTTCCGCCTTTTCCCTTGTAGGATCCGCCCCTTGGAGTCCATTTGCCCATTGCTGACATCCCGAGCGTGACCAATCAGTGTCCTTCTTCCTGCAACAAGGCACATGGCACCTGCGCAGTTTCCGCAAGTTATTACGGTCCGGGGCGGAGGTGGGACGGGGGGGGGGCTTTCTTTGAACTTTGGGGTCCGGTCTCCCCCCCCCCGTATTGAGGCCAGCGGAGGTCAAGGGTTGAAGCCTTATATGAGCCCATGAAGGGCAGTCAGTTGGGTCTATTGTGGGACCTTCGGAGACCCTGAGTTTGAATCAGCCGCTCTTTGTGTCCTGGATTCCCTCTTTTCATTGAGGGAAATCTCTTTGCTACAATATTCTAATAAATTGCCTTTGAATGCTCCTCCCACTCAGATCCTCATGGAAGCAAGTGTACTGTGGCTGAAATCTATTGCTAATTTGAACTTTATTGTTCTGGGTGTGAAAGAGCTTTTCCCTGCCATTGTTTGATATAATCTATGTGGATTTCCCAAATGTGGGGACCTATTAAGACCATCCCCAAGCATCTGAAGCTCTCAGTTGGATTCCCTGAATGGTCCCCTTGTCTTCCAGCAGAAACCCCTACAAGGGACTCTCTAAGGCCAAGGAAGCTTTGTGAGATATGAGCCATATTCTTAAAAAGCCCCCACCCTTTTAGCCTTTAAACCCCTGGCTTTTCCCCAGGCGCTGGGAGGTCAGACAAGGAGAAGGTGGCATGGATTGGCTCCAGGTTTTTCTTTGATGGTTTTTATTTTATGTTTTAATGTGTTGGATACTTTTGAAAACACCCTTTTGGGAGCTGCACAGAGTTGACTGAAAGATGGGCAATTATAAGAACGTTTTAAATGAATAAGAGTCTTTGGGGACCTGTTTGGTCCTCCCACTAGGTGCAGAGACTGGGTGTTCCCCAGTTGTCAGGATAGGGAAAGTCCCCCATTCCTCTGCTTTCTGTTCATCAGCTAAATGCTTAGCAAAAGGTGCATCTAGCTCAGTGGTGTCAAACTCTTATTTCCTTCAGGGCTGCATCAGGGTTATGTTTGACCTGGGGGGGAGGTCCCTGGGTAAGCGTGGCCAGCTCATCTTCTCTCTTCTTTTTTTTTTATTAAAGTTTTACAAACATTTCCCCTTCCAACCCCCCCTCCCCTCCCACCCCCATCCCCCACTTCCCAGAGCAAAATACAGGGTATAACATTTGACAATCATAAACTAACATAAACTAATTATCTATAACCTCCTATCCCCCTCTTGAGCTTTTAACTCCCCTTTTACTAAACTAAATTTAAGAACTTTATAAAATCTCTTTGATCATTCATAAGCTATTTGAAATTTTTTAGTCCGATATTTGCCTTGAATATAATCAATCCATCTTCTCCATTCTAAAATATATTTCTCATTTAAATGGTCCGTTAGATATGCTGAAATTTTCACCATTTCTGCTAAATTTACTTCTTTTAATGTCCATTCTTGAATAGTAGATAAATCTTCCTTCTTCCAGTACTGTGCCACCAAGAGTCTTGCTGCAGTTATTAGGTTCAAAATCAAATTAGTCTCTATAGCCGTACAATCTCTAATTATACCTAACAAAAACAACTGTGGAGTAAACTTTATCTTCTTTTTAAGGATATTTAAGGATATTTTGGATAATCCACCATATTTACACAAGCTCAAAATTTGAGAGAAAATTTTTATAAAATGTTTTATAGATGGCATTTGGATCCCAAAAAGTTAGCTTGTATGTACCCAAAACTACAGCCCAAATGTTGGAGATGTGATTGTGTTGATTCTACCTATTTTCATGTTTGGTGGACTTGTAAAAAAGTTAAAGCATTTTGGATGAAAATATGGTGGATTATTCAAAATATTCTCTTTTTTTTTAATTTTTTTTATTATTAAAATATAAACACAGATATAAAGACAATACAATACAAAGACAAACAAAAAACCCACCACCTACAAACCCACCTAACATTTTACATTTACGCTTTTGTCATCAACAGAATATATGTCATTGAGCTTATATAGTTTAATAAAGAGTAATTATTAAATGTCTAATTCCAATGTTATAACTTTCCACTACAAATTTACATTTCTTATGGGTTCATCTCCTTGTGAAAGTCTTTACCCTAATTTCTGTCCTCTACATTTTTGCTGATTTTCCTTTCCAGCCATTGATACCATTGGTGCCATACAAGATAGTATTCGCTTTCTTCCTTTTCCTGGAGTTCCAGCGTCAATCTGTCCATTTCAGCACACTCTGTTATCTTTGCAACGATTTTGTCTTTGGATGGGAGTTGGTCTGATTTCCAGTTTTGCGCGAACAGTAGTCTTGCTGCTGTCAAGATATGTATGATGAGATATTTCGTTTCCTTAAGATGTTGTGCCGTTATCATGCCAAATAGAAAAAAATTCTGGACTGTTTTCTATTTGAATGTTTGTTATTTCTTCGATAATATTTTTTATATCTTGCCAATAGTGTTGGGCTTTCCTACATTTCCACCAAGTGTAATAATATGTCCCCTTTTTTGATTTACATTTCCAACACAACGCCGAAGTGTTTGGGTGTATTTTGGCAAGTCGGGCTGGTGGTAAGTGCCATCTATAAAACATCTTAATGAGGTTCTCCTTGTAGGATGTGGCTCTTGTCATTTTTATGTTCTGCTTCCATAATTTCTCCCAGTCTGCCAATTGAATATTATGTCCTATGTCCCTGGCCCACATTGTCATATTATGTTTAACTGTTTCTTCTATTAATTTGTCTCTCAAAAGGTAGTTATATGTTTTAGTAATCATTTTCTGGTCTGCTCCCAATAAAATTCTGTCCAGTTCGTTCAGATCTTTTGCAATTCCATATTTGATTTTATCCGCATTGTATCTTGAGTGTATTTGAGTGTAGTGCCACCAATCAATATTTATATCGCCATTTTGGAGTTGATGTCTTGGAGTGAGTTCTCCTTCATGATTCAGTAAATCTTGGTATCTCATCATCTTTCCGATTTCAAGGGTATTTGGAAATATCAATGCCTCCATTGGGGACCACCATTTTGGTATTTTAGTATAATAAGTTTTCTTAATTCCCTGCCAAATCTTGAAGAGTGAGGCCTGAATTATGTGTCTTTGGAAGTACATGTGTTGTTTGTCTGGTCCATCCCATAGGAACGCGTGCCATCCTCGTATGAGATCAAAGCCTTCTAGATATAACATTCTTTTGTCATCTAATCTCATCCATTCTTTGATCCAGGTCAATCCGGCTGCTTTATAATATAGCTCCCAGTCTGGTACTGCAAGGCCTCCTCTGTCTCGTGTGTCTTGTAGCGCTTTAATCTTAATTCTGGCCTTCTTTCCCTGCCATATATAGGTCGTTGTAATTTTGTTGAGATTTTTGAAGAAGTCCCTTCCTGGACGTAATGGTACTACCTGGTATAGATATAGTACCCTCGGTAATATATTCATTTTAATTGAACTGATTCTGCCCATCAATGACAATTGTAGCCTGTTCCAGATTTCCAGGTCTTTTTTAATTTCTTTTAGTAATTTCGTGTAATTGTCTTCTTTAATTGTGGTTGCTTTTGCCGTCAACCAAATACCTAAATATTTTATCTTCTTTACTAATTGGATTCCTAATTCTTCTTCTAATTCCGATCTCTGAGTCTGGGTCATATTTTTCGTCATTAGTTTTGTTTTTTGTTTGTTTATTTTGAGGCCCGCGACTTCCCCATATTGTTCTATCATCGACATCAGTCTGGGTCCAGATCGTCTTGGGTTTTCCAAGTTGAAAATTACGTCGTCTGCAAAGGCGAGCAATTTGTACTCCTCTCCCCGGATCTTGAGTCCTTTGATTTCTTCCTCGTTCCTTATTTCGTTTAATAATACCTCCAATGCTATTATAAATATTAGCGGTGACATGGGACATCCTTGTCGTACTCCTTTCTGAATATCAAAAATTTGTGTCATGTCGCCATTTATTGAGATTTTTGCTGTTTGTTGGGAATAAATTTTTTTAATCAGATTATGAAATTTCTCTCCACAGTTCATTAGTTCAAGTTGTTTTGTGAAAAAAGACCAATTCAAATTGTCGAAGGCCTTCTGGGCATCAAGGGAGATTATGGCCATTTCTCTGTCTATCTTCTGATCATAGTATTCCAGAATATTTATAATCATTCTCAAATTATTCTTTATTTGTCTTTTAGGTATGAAACCGTTTTGGTCTGGATGTATATAGTTATGTGTTATTGCTTTGAGTCTCTGAGCTAGTATTGACATGAATAGCTTATAGTCCACGTTGAGTAATGAAATTGGTCTGTAATTTTTAATTTGCGTCGGATCTGAGTCTTCTTTGTGTATTAATGTAATAATAGTTTCTGTCCAAGATTTTGGAATTTCTGCTATCAGTAGTGCTTCGTTAAAAACTTGTAACAGTATTTGGTCTATCGATTGTTGACAAAGTTTATAGAATTCAGTAGGAATTCCATCCAGTCCTGGAGTCTTATTGTTCTTTTGTTTTTTGCGGGCTTCCATTAGTTCCAGCATTGTTATGGGCCGGTTTAACATCTCTCTGTGATCTTCTGTGAAGTGCATAAGGTTGGTTTTTTGGAGGTATTTTTTTATTTGGTCTTCCGGGACCTCTTCCTGACAATAAAGTTTTTGAAAAAAAAATTTTGGCTATGTTTTTCTTCTCCAGATGTGTGTGGTAAAGAGTTCCTGATTCGTCTTGGAGTTGGTGTATAATTCTTTTTTCTGTTTGCTTTTTTAGCTTATATGCTAACCAGCGTCCAGTTTTGTTAGCATGTTCAAAATTATTTTGTTTTACCATTCTTATTTTCTGTGCCAATTCAGTTTTTGTGGTTAGATTCAGTTTATGTTTGGCCAAATTTAGCTTTTGTAGCACACTCGTGTTGTTGGGCTGTTGTTGTAATTTAAGTTCCTCTGTCTTAATTTCTTCCAATAATTCATTTCTGATTCTTTGTTTCTCCTTTTTCTTTCTTGCCATATATGCAATAGTTAGGCCTCTAATATAGGCTTTCGTGGTATCCCATAGGTTTTGTAATGATGTTGTGTCTTTTGTATTTATTTG